ATTCTGAAATTTAATTAAATAAATAATAATATTTGATGTTAATCATCATTTTGTTAAATTTATAACTAGTAGTATACACACGTTATACAGCTACAAGATTAAAAAATACTGTGCCTTTTAAATAATATAAAGTTAATACAAATGAAATAACAGTATAAAGAACAGGACATGAAATAAAATTAGAATAAAATCTCATATTGGAAATTAGATAAGAAAAGTCTGATTAAATTGATATTCAAATATATGATGAGGCAAATAATCATTTTAGAATACCATCTAGTCCTGTATTTGAATTCAATTATAATAGCCTTTTGACTATAATGATGTTAAAGATCCTTAATAATTTGCTAATTATGATTATGAGATTGATGTAGAATAAAATTGTTTAGAAATAAAAGTATAAAGAGATAATGCAACAATATTTACATTAAGTGATTTAATATTTAGTGAAAGATATATAGAATTTACACATTATCCATAAAACAAATAAATGTGGGGTTTAGGAGAAAGGAATTAAGTTGGATTTCGTTTTAGAGAAGGAATATATACATTGTATGCAAGAGATGAGCCAAATATAATAGAGGATGGAAAGAGACCTGGAAAACATGTTTATTCTAGTCATCCTGTATTATTAAGTATGGAAGAAAGTGGGAAATTTAATATAATGTTCTATAAAAGTTCATCTCCGATGGATATAAAATATGAGTAAGATTAAATGAAATTTATAACAATTGGAGGGATAATAAATATAAAATTATTTTTAGGTGATGAATATCCAAGAAGTGTAATTAAAAAATATCATTAATATTTGGGAGGTTGGATGCTTCCACCATTTTGGGGATTTGGATTTCATTAATGTAGATGGGGATATTAGAATAGTAGTGTTTTAATAGATGTTGTACAATAATATTAGAAAAATAAAATACCAATAGATATTATATGGACTGATCTTGATTATATGAATGATAGATAGATATTTTCTGTAGATAAATATAGATTTCCTTCGAAAGATTATTAATATTTAAAAGGTTTAGGTGTTAGATATATACCATTATTGGATGTAGCAGTAGGTGTAAAATATGGAAATGAAGATGAAGGTTATAAAAAAGGAATAGAATATGATATATTTTTATATTCTCCAGATACTGGATATCGATTTGAGGGTTATGTTTGGCCAGGAGATTCTTATTTTCCTGATTTCTTTCATCCTAATATTAGTATATATTGGAATGAAATGCATGAACATTTATATAAATAAGTTGAATTTGATGGTCTTTGGGTTGATATGAATGAGCCAGCAAATTTTTGTTAAGGGGAATGCAATTGGAGTAATAAAGTAAATGATCATCCAATAAGAAAAGATAGATTAAATAAAGAAATCGATTTTCCATATATTCCAGGTTAAATACCATTAGCAAATAAAACATTGCCTCCTCATTTATTACATTATGGAGAATATTTGCATAAAGATGTACATAATCTATATGGAATTATGGATTCTTTTTATACTTATTAAGCTTTAAAGGAATTGGGCAAAGTATAACCATTTTAGATTACAAGATCTACATTCCCAGGTACTGGAAAATATGCTTAACATTGGACAGGTGATAATGGAGCATCATGGGATTTTTTATATTTATCATTAGGTTAAATATTTTAATTTTAAATATTTGGAATTCCTATGGTTGGAGCTGATGTTTGTGGATTTATGGGAGATACTACTGATAAACTTTGTTGTAGATGGATTTAATTAGCATTCTTTTATCCTTTCTTTAGAAATCATAATAATGATTTATCAAAACCATAAGAGTTTTATAAACTTGGATCTCATGTTATCTAATCTGCTCAAAAGAACATTCATCTTAGATATTCATTATTAAAATGGTTTTATTCTATTTTTATTAGAGAATAAAATCATGGTTCAAGTATATTATTATTATAAATAATCATTAGTTATTAATCCTTTATTCTTCATATTCCCTAATGATTATCTTACATATAGAGATTTTGTTATGGATACATAATTAATAATCGGTGAAGAACTAATGGGTGCTCCAATCTTAAATGAAGGAGTAACCAGAATTGCATATTTCCCAGATTCTATTTGGTATGATCTTATCACAGGTTTAGAATTTAAAGGAAAATAAGATCACACTCTTTATTGTTCATACAATGAAATTGTACCTATATTTATTAGAAGTGGATATTTAGTAATATAAAATATTAAAGAAATAATCAAAAATATTAAATCTTTAGATAATCATTATAGACTTATTGCTGCTCCCATGAATTCAGAAGCTAAAGGAATATTCGCTGACTTAGATAATTTTGAAGACGAAGAAAAAGCCATTGAAGCAGATATTATTAATTTGAAATTAATTGTATAAGAAAAAAGTGTCAAAATTACATTAAATCAAAGCCATTCAGAATTAATTATTGATGAGATTCTAATTTATGGCTTAGAGTGTTCATATCAGTAATGTATATCTGGGTATTATAAATATAACTCTATATTTAAAGGTCCATTTAGTTTGGGATAAGATAAAACAGAATTAGAGCTGAAATGATTTATATATTGTACAGTAGATAGATTTACTGCCATATGCATTTACTTATTTAATTTAGAATTTAAAAATAAAAGATGCGTTTATTAAATAAATATATATCATCTTTTATGGTGTTTCTTATGATGTCTGTCTTTTTTATGTCTATGTTTTTTATGTTTCTTTCTTTTAGATCTACTTCTACTTGAATCTGAAGAAGAATCAGAAGATGAATCACTATCTGAATCAGATGAACTACTGCTAACAGGGGCTTTTTATATAACTTCCACTTATTTAGAAGGTTATTGAATTTATTAGAGTGCTGCTTATTACAATTACTCTTATTGTTGTTATTATTATTATTGAGCTTGTAAAGGTATTTGTTCTGTGATTCCCCATCTCAATTCTTCTTAGAACTTTTCAACATAAACATAATCAACCAATTTTAATCTAAGTTTTTCATTTTTATACTCAAATATCTTATTTCGATCATTGATTAATCTTTTAGCATCTCTCTCATTCTCATATCTAACAAATGCTACATTTCTGGTATTACCTGTTTGACGATCTATTGGTATTTTTAATTCCTTAATTTTGCCTTCTTTTCTAAATAATTCCATCAATTCTAAATGACTAGCTTTTTCTGGTAAATTCTTTATAAGAATTGTATCTTCTACAGCTCCTGAAAGCGTTGCTTTTAACTCTTCTTAACTCATCTTGCCTTTATTAATTCTTTCCAACTATCTTAAATCATTACGTAATTTTTCAATTTTATCTTTCAACCATTTTTTACAATCGTCATAAGATATTAAGACTTAATATATTCTAGTACTTTTAGCAAATTTAATTTTATCTTCATTAGCTAATACAACTGGTAGATGAGGTTCAACAAATTATTCATTATGAAAAGTTCCACCCTTTGAACCTAAATCAACTAAACAAACTTAGGATTAATTATTCACAAAAATAGCAGCATGTCTTCTAGATATAGAAGGATGTGCTAAATGAACATGATTTCTTTAATGAGATCCAAAATATAAAAATGCTGAATGTTTCATTTCTATTTTTGGTAAGTTCTCACCCTCTTGTATATAATTAATATATAAAATACCTTTCAAAACCTTCAATTCTACTTTAGGAATCATTTTTGATTCTTATTCAATTGGAAATGTCATCAATAACCACTTATCCTAATCTTCATAATTATTAATATCAGTTCTAATTTGTTCAAGTAATCTTCCAATTTAATTCTATCCTTTTCCATCTACCACTCCCCAATATTAATTACTAGGAGTTGAATGTGTAAATGTATGAATTAATTAATAGTTATTTGTGGCTCTTAATGAATCTCTTATATCTGCGTTCCTTCTGAACTTGTCTCGTAATAATACTTCCATTATTCGCAATCTTTATTTTGTCCAATGAGGGGGATCATCTATATGTTAAGCTATCTAATAAACTTCCTATACAGATTATGCCTATTCAAATCAATTATTTATATATACGCTCACAAACTTCTATCTCATTTCCTCATCTTATGTTCTAGCCGATTAATATGCAGCATATACTGAATTATATATAAGTCCCTATTTTATATATATTCATTTATTCTACCTAATAATAAACCGCACATGGATATTCATTTGCTAAAAATTCAAATTGATCTGTAAAAGACTCAATTCTTTCCATTCTCTACTTTCGAAATAGAAAATCAGCTTGCTCTTCATATCTTTAGAGTTCAGCCTGAAATTAGGCATTCTTCTCCATTTAAGCAAAAAGAGACATCCTAATATTTATATATATTTATATAAATAATCAAAATTATATTTATATTATGATAACTTTTTCATTTAATTATTTTACAAATGCTTTTAATTTTCAATTCTCTATTTAAATTTAGATTTACAAATAGTTAAACCATTTCATTAATATTTTTATTTTATCATGGATCAAATTTTGTCATCTCCAAATACAGGAAGAAAGTACTCTCCTATTAAAATTATTGGAGAAGGTGAATATGGAACAGTATGGCTTGTTTAAAGAGATGATTAAAGTATTTTACTTTATCCTTTTTTCTAGCACTTTTTGCTTGTAAATTATTGAAGCCTAAATTCGCTTAATGGAGTATTGAAAAAAGTAAGAAATTTGAAGAAAGAGCTTAATAAGAAATATAAACTCTAATAAAGAGCAGTCATAATAATGTTGTCAAATATGAAGATTGCTTCTAAAAAGAAATTTAATCTAGAATTGATAGATACATTATATCTGAATATTGTGAAGGTGATACTTTATAAAAAATGTTGGATTTAAAAGGAAGATTAAGTGAAACAGATGCATTTCCTATAATGATTCAGTTAGCAGACGGATTAAGATATATGCACAATTAAAAGATTATTCATAGAGATATAAAGCCTGCTAACATTATGTTTAAATAAGGTGTTCCTAAATATATAGATTTTGGATTTGCAAAATACATAGAAGAACAAAAAGTAGATTAAATTCAAACAGTTGAAGTTGGGTCACCATAATATATGGCTCCAGAATTACTTGGAGAAAGTGGTTACTATGATTAAAAAGTGGATGTTTGGGCATTAGGACTTATATTTTATTAAATGATTGTAGGTTAATTTCCATGGAACATAGAATAAGCAACATCATAATAAATGATCTTGAATATCATTATGGAAGATGAAACCATTTCTTTCCCCACTGAAATTCCAATATCTTAAAAGTTGTAAGATACTATAATTTAAATGTTATCATTTGATAATGAAATTAGAATAGACAGCAATCAATTATTTTTGATGTTATAAAATTGATAATCATTCCAAAATCATCATTCTATCAATTATATTATCAATAGGAAGTTCTCTATTATGCATATTAAAAATTTTAGCTTTAAATTGTTCACTTCCATCAATTGTTTTTATGTTTGGATATTACCTAACATATTTTAAATCTAATTGTTTATAATAATCATGATTAATAGATAATTTAACACTTTATTTGATTTATTTTATCACTTATTATTATTCTATTGGTTAAGGTTATTTTTTTTAAGGTTCAACTTTTTAACTTTAAGTGTTTTTAAATTATTTAAGTAGTGATTCAATTTTTTTTAATTCCTCATTTAAATGAACATTCTCTTCAGTCTTTTCTCTATTTTATCTTTAATATCTTAAAATTTTGCTAGTTTCTTCTTATTTTAATTATTTTTTTTCAGTTTCACCTTCTCCAGGATCTTGAATATCTGCAATGAATTCTTCTCCTTATTCAATAATAGATTTATTGGTGGAAATAAGATTTTTGATAAAATTTTAATAAACCGGCAAATCTCTAAAATGAATATTGGATTTAGGATTTTATATCCATTTAGTGAGATTATAGTTAATTCTTTCTTTAATTTAATCATCTGTTAATTTAGTAGTGGATTTAATAATATCTCTAGTTAAAAATAAATTGATAGCATTTACCTTTCTTTTTTTTATAAATATTCTTTGGAGGGAATTTGAATTCCATTTTCTTCACATCTTTTTTGCCAAACAACAAATTCTTGCTTTTAAATTTATTGATTAGAAATAAGAGTAATATGTCTTAATTTAGGTTCTTTTACTTCTCCGAATTATAATTTAAGTAATTTGTAAGTTTAAGTCTATTCTAATTGATATTATTTTTCTCCTTCAACAACAGCTAAAACTTAAGCAATTGCATAACTTTATTCTTTTCTTCTAATAAGATTAGGTTCATTGATTTTAACAAATGATCCTTCAATGACATTATCACAGAAATGTTTCATTAAGATATAATAAATTTGATCTCTTTTTAGTTATGCATTTTAGATTAATTTAAAATAATTATCTAAGAGTTCATTATTAGGTTCTGGAATGATTGGTTTTTCTTCAATTTTTTAATCAAATTGGGGTTCTTCTTTTTGAAATTCATTTTCTGATTATAATGAATCAGATGATTCTGATTCACTTGATATTTTTTCTAGATTAACTTTAGATGTTTAAGGATTTTATATTTATGAATTGGATTATAATATTGATCTTTTATATTCTTCTTCCTCTTTCTATTTTCTGATTTCAGCCCAAGCTTTTTCTTTTTCTAATTACGTTTTAGCTTTAAGAAACATAGTTTATTGAGCCTATGTCATTTCATTAAAACTATAAGGAAGATTTTACTATTTAGACATATTTAATAATAATCATTTTTTATTTGGTTTATTTAATTTCTTAGCATTTTTATCTTTAGCTTAAGCTCCATATTTCTACTTTAATTTAGCAGTGACTTCTTAATCAATATCATCTTCAATTTCACCATCACTAACATCATCATCTTCTTTATCTTAAATTCTAACTCTTATATTTCTACTAACATTTTCTGGTTTAATATCTAAAATAATAATAACATAATAATTAAACTATTATCTCTTAAATTAAGATTAATGAATTGATCAATATGTTCTTTATTGAAATCCTTCCAAGTTTATTTAAAATCTTAAGCTCGATACGATGCATCATTTTTAATTAATTATAGAATTAATTTCATTTTCTCAACTACTTAAGCTAAACCTTCAACTAAAGTATCATCAGAAATAACAATATTTGGTTTTCCTTCTAATTTAAAGAATTCTAATTTTTCATATAAATGTTCTATTCCAGCCTTTACATTAACTAAAATCTTTTGAACTCTTTCATATTTCAATTTAGTTCTTTCACATTTGTTAATAGCATTATTAACATTATTTTCAATCTATAATAAAATATTAAAATAACTTCATCAATTTATTTTCTTGTTAATGCTTCTCCACCTTCATATTTTAAATCATTAAGATGATCTCTTAATTTCTATCTTTCTGTAATTAATTATTCTATTTTATCTTAATACTCTCCCTTAAGATCACTTAAAGATTTGCTTGTTTCATCCTGACTAGTAAATTTTTAAATAATATCATTAACATCTCTAAATCCAGTAACTTCTTTTAATTTATGAAATGCTTCTTCATAATCTGCTAATTTTTGTTTTTAAATATTAGTATCAACATTTGGATTAGATGATTCTTAAATAGGAATATTTGATGCATTATATTCAACTTAAGTTTAACCATTATCTTTTTCTCTTTTTTCTAATTTCTATATTACTTTTTCTCTCTCTTCAATAGCCTTTCTTTTTGCATCTAAATATGTTTTTCTTAATTCTCTAACAGCTGCCTTTTTATGTTCATATTTTTTTAATTCTGCTTATGCTAATTCTTTTGCATGAGTAGCATCATGTGCTAATAATAATAACTCTTCATAATCATGTTCTTTTCCTTTCAATGATCTTTCTATAGCTGCTAATTAATTATCATATCCAACTCTTTCTTCTTTCAATCTCTTTACTATCTATTCATATGTCTTTCTTATAGATTATGCTTCATTATATTTTATCATAACTTTATCTAAATTATTCTCCAATATTCTAATTTATCTCATTAATGGTGATTCTTCTGGTACTCCAAATTTTGTATCACTTACTTCATTCAATTTATCTTATAATTAAATTAATCTCTCTTTCTTTGCTTTTGTTAAGTGTTTTGCATCATCTAATTTACGTCTCCAATAATTCTCATCTTTTATGTCTCCAGACCAAGATATGAATGCTCCTTATGTCTTTGCTAATGAAGCACTTGCACCCTACTATTTGCTAACTCACATACTCTTTTATTTGCAATCAATTCATCTTACAGTTTCTTTAAATCACGATTCTCCCTTTTTAATTATTCAATTATTTCATTGTTCTTTCTCTTTGTCTCTTCTGCATTATTATAAAAATTCTTTCTATCCGCATCCAAAAGTCCGCTTTTCTTTATCTAATGTTCCAATTCCTCCTCTATTGAACGTATATTTTATTAACTTTTTGCTGTTTGAACTCTTGACATTATTAATTTAATTTATAAACATATTTTTTTCAATTTTTACATCTCTCTATACTCAATATTCATTTCTCAACCCCCTCATTATATTTTATGATCCATTAATTAGAATTTTATTTAATCTTTTTTTTCAAATTCAAATATATTCTCAGAAAATATCTTAATTTTATTCATATTATTCTCAATTTTATAATTCTCCACTTGCACTAATCCCTTTAATAATTCTATCCATTTATATCCTACTTTTCATATAATAT